CAAACCGCCCCAGTGCACGCTGGAGGTCCTGGTTTGATGGGGCCAACAGGACAACGTCGTCTGCAAAAAGCAGAGACGAGCAGATAAAATGTCCAGGTTTTTAAAAGAAGCACATCTGATTCAGCAGGTTTTCACCAGGATCTTAGGTCCTTGATGATACTGTTAGACCACTTGACTTGATTTGACTGAGGGTCTGAAGTTTAGCCGTTAACAAATATTAATGGCAACAGCTGAGCTGTTTGCATTTAAAGCCTGAAGTAACAGCTGTCTGACAACATAAACCTAAAGATGCAGTGGATCAGTTCCAGCACCTGTACCTGGTGATACACCGTTTACTTGAAACAGGGCTCGGTTTCCAGTCAGACACTCTAGATGAGAAAGGGGGCTAAAAAGTGTGTGTTTGTGTGCAGTGTGTAAAGTGAGTCAGAGCCAAGAGTTCAGCAGCATCATGTGCTTCTTCAAACTTGACAGACTGTGGGTGTGTTTGTTTGTGTCTGTGGACAACGCTGACTGAAGGACCTTTCATTTTAGGCTGGTCAGAATCACAAGGAGCTGTCACCACACACATGCACATACACACACATGGAGTAAGCGTGTACGGTTATACTAGACAACATAATTTAGATTCCACAGTTCAAGTGAGGGATGGTTTAAAAATGCTGTGTCATTAGTTACGATCACTGCGATAGTGAGTTTGTAGTTGATATTAGAACTGTACATTTATCTCCAAAGATTAATATATGACTGTGATAAAAGACATCCTGAGTGTAATGGCCAATAATCATTCAGCTGATGGCCAACACACACTCACAGCATGCTTCAGATGCATTAGGCTGGAGGAGGCAGCATGCAGTTTAATTTCTGTGTCAAAGTGGCTGTAGAGCTTTAGAACGTGAACGGCAGCTTTCTCCTTTTTGGTTAATTTGTTATTTTTTGATTGTAGAATCTGTCGACACTCCTGCTTGATGCTCCTACACAAGATCCCAGTGCCCAGAGCCTTTAAGCATAGTTTAATGTGCCACCAAGAAAACAACAAAGCCAGCAGGCTTCAGTTTGCAATGAAACACAGTATTGATTACCTAGCTCACCGGTTCTCAGCCTTTTTTTGGTTTGACTATTTGTGATCGCTTGTCACTGGTTCAGTCTGTCTCTGAGATTTCTGGCCTATGTTGTCTCTCTGTGCTTCGTATGGCCTTGTGTCCTTGTTATTAAGATTATTATTCTTGTGGTCATAGTCAAGATTTAAAAGAATTTCCACCTGGAGTTTATGTCCCCAACTCCTCTGAAGATGCTGTCGAGTGCCCCTGATCACTGCAACGCTTGCAAGTAACAATGCTAATTGAATGTTGATGATGAATCCCAAGTAGTTATCATCCCTGGCTAGCAGCTGTTCTTATGGCATCCCATTTCAGAAAACATTTTGCTATGTATAGTTCCTAGGTGAAATACAGCACATACAAGATGTAAACAGGATACATGCAGAATATGAAAGAAATAAAAAAGATATTAGAAGCTCAGAGAAGATTAGAAGTCATCCAACAGTGAGCATGGATGCAGAAACAAAACACTGATGCAGCTGAGCTGTTGTACACCCACACTTCTTCCTGTATTTGACAGAAAAACAGTGCTGTCCTCTTCTCTGACTGACACTAGCAACAGAATCATCCTTAATTTCCATGGCATGCAAATCTTTTTTTCAGGCCTTGCAACAGAAGCTGCCCCCCACCCTCTTATTCATGATAATATTCTGCCAGTGTCATCTGTCCATCTGCCACAACAACTTCCTTCCTTCCCTTCATTCTTCCAGAAAATGCAGACAGATGAGAATTATTATCGTGTTAAACCTCCAAATGCTCTCAGTGCACTGATGATGAAAATCCATTAAGCCCCAGAAAGAACAAGCAAACACTGCAAATAAAAAGAACGTGTTAAAGGAAGACAGGGTGCTGCCCCACTTCCCGCTCCTTCACACTGAATGAGCCAACAAACCTCTGTCCTCCCCCTCATCTGTCTCTCTGCTTTCTATCCTCGATGACTGTATATATTACTGAACCCACGCCTGTTCGCCATCACTGCACCAGGCCTTCAAATAGTACTGTTCACTGTGTGTGCGTGTGTGCTCATGCATGCGTGCAGAGGGGGATTATGGACACTATTGGTGACACAAGCTGCTGCTAGACTCTCTGTGAACCGCTGGCCGATGAGACAAGCACTACTCACATGCACACGGTCACGCTTCCTGCACTTCAGGGAATTGTACATCACCTTTATTAATTTCCTGGAGACTTTCCTTGACCTCAACCATAAGCACTAATCTTCATCCTTGTCCTCGCCCTAACCTTAAATGAAACTGACACTCTAAACTTCAGTGATTACGTTTTGGGGACATGCTTTTTGTCGCTTTAAGGACATCGAGTCACCACAGTGTGACTGTGTAAACAGATCCATGTCCCCACAACAGGGGTAATGCCAGGCCACTCACACACCTACACTTTGCTGTATATACACACATACACATGCAGACACTCAGAGAACTGCAGAGCAGCAGCTGTCTTCACTCCCCTGAGCACAAACAAACTCTAGTACATTTGACTGTGTGTGTGTGTGTGTGTGTGTGTGTGTGTGTGTGTGTGTGTCAGGCACATATATGATGTGTGGGGGTGTGCGACAGGATATGTGTCAACTGCTACTTTGCTGAAAGTCGCACACCACAGTGTGTCTTTTCCAGCTTTCTTTCTTTTACATGCTACCACATCACGCCCGTGTTACTGTTTATTTGAGATTTTGGCCAGACAGGATGTTACACTCACACACTCTGAGACACAGGTTGGCAGCATGTGAGTGGAAACATGAAGCATCTTTTTCAGATATCAACATACAGTTTGAGCATATTATGGAAATGATAGCATAACCACATAACTAAATTAGCAGCGCTGTCATTTAAACAGCACTGCGTCTGTCTAAGAAGGTTTTGTCTAAGAAGAAGTGGTTTAAGTCATGTTCATCTTCTTCCCATGTTCACTTGTGTTCACCAGCTTCATTCAGACCATGTTTTTCTTTGATCTAAAATGAAAACAGGACCTGGTAATAGCTAATTCAGCATACTCTTAATAGTACTCACATTTGAAATTGTAGACACCAATCTATTATCTATACCGCGTATTCCTGAACAGCTTGTGGGGGGGCTGGAGCCAATCCCACCTAACACAGGGCAACAGGCGGGGCCCACACTGGACAGGTCGCCAGTCTGTCACATAGATGCACACACACTCCTACAGGGAATTTAGAGTCACCAGTCAACCTAAGCTGCATGTCTCGGGACTGTGGGAGGAAGCCAGAGAATCCACAGAGGCACAGGGAGAACATGCAGACTCCACACAGAAAGGCCTCGAGTCGGTCGGGGCTCGAATTCGGAACCTTTTTGCTGTGAGGTGACAGCGCTAACCACCGCACAGCTGGGCCCCTAAAATTGTAAAGAAAAAAGATTTTAAAAATGGGGTTTATGTTGAGGCCCATAGCTTGATGACCTGCTGCACATCAGACAGCTACAAAGAGCAGTAAAAATCAGTTAAAGCAGATTTTTACTCATATTTGTAATCTTAACTCTCACTCTCTTTATTTCCATCCCCTCTCTGCAGATTGACCTGGAGCCAGAAGGGAAGGTGTATGTTGTTATTGAGCTGTTAGGATCTTCCAGTGAAGGTAAGAACTCAGTACACCGTGGTTTTTACGTAAAGATCGGGGTCAGCTCAGGGTGTCCAAAGTCAGCTGACATGCATGTAACATGGAATCACTGTAGTTCACCTTGTCTGTCTTTTGATTAGTTGTGTACATGACTGTGGAGTTTAATTGCTCAGTTTAAGAGGTTTCTAACAAGCACTGTATAGTGATACACTGTGTCTGTACCATGTACTCCAGGGAGTACACGTGTGACTACACATAAAAACAGTGCGTATTTTACATGTCTGGACAGGCTTAACGAGCCTGAAGAGCCTGAAGCCTCCTTGTTGTAGACACACTCTGTGGATGTTTGCAGCCTTTCAGCAGTAGAGTCGCTCCATAACAATGGTGATAAGTAGAACAAAATAAAAACAAAGTAGTAAAAATGGACACAGTTAAACCCAGTAAGATCCCCTCAGCTAAGGGAAAAGAGAAAAAAGAAGTCCCTAGATAAAGAATGGAGTGGATTTAACTGATAAAACTGTCATTTTTCACACCAATCGATGCTCAGTAACCCATAATGATCAACTGAAATGAGGTTTTAAGATGTTTTGGACATTTCTTAAGAATCAAACTTGGTAATTATAGGTTGTTGAGTGTGTGTGTTGATCAGTAAAAGCTTAGTAAAAGTAAAACCTGTTTCTGTATTGAGTAAAACTTCCCTAGTGCCTCTTCCTTTTTCTCTGTCTTTACATTTTAAATCACTTACCTTCAGGTTCATCGTACCAACTTTACACTAACGCAAAAGTATCAGTACAAGAAATCTCCTAATCATTTAATCAAATTTAAACGAGGACATCATGTGTGTTTGTGTGTCAGACTGAGTAAACAGAGTCTGGAGTCATTCTTTTACTCTGGGTAAAAACATCATTACATCAGGAAACATTGCAGGTTTCCTGTGCACGTGTTTGTGTGCACACTCAGGGTGTCTAGTGTGTGTCCATCCTATGCTGTGAGTCAGGTTTAAAGAGCTTGGATAGGTGTGGAAACCTGAAGGAAGTATAAACACAATATAAACACAATACACAACCCCAGAGACATAGATCAAACACTTCCAAGGAACAGAGTGACAGAGGTGTTCACACAGGAGGCTGGGACAGAGAGACTATTTGTCCTTTACCTGGCATTTCCTTGGATTTACCTAAAGTATCCCTTCATAAATAAATGCAGTTTGCGGGCCAAGTGATTTGTCCCTGCTGTAGGAGAGGAGTGCATCATAAACAGTGACACTGGCTGCAGGTTCAGTCACTGAAGACAGCAGGGTTCAGGGGGGCTGTGTCACCACCATCATTACACCAGGGTCAAGTGCATAGCTGTTGTCCTTTGTGTAGATTTGAACAGGTTCTGTTCAAAAGTGCAACCATCTTTAAAGACGTTCTGCCATCTAGTGGGCAAAGATACAAGACAACTCACATCCGTGAACATGAGATAGTGATGCAGGAATTATTTTCTTAATTGTTTTTTATTTCTCACAAAGTAGAATGTCAAATTCATCATAATGTGGCTCAAAAACAGTTTATGACAGCATGTCTCAATTAAAAATAGAGGTAATTTTTGTTTCAAACATTGTTTAGTTTCACTTTTCATGGTCAAGACATATGGCAAAGCCTTTAAAAAGGATGTAAAGAAACACATTTATCAGCAGAATCCATCAAATTTCCATTAAAATTGCTCAGTGGGAATAGAATTGCAGTAACACCACAGCAGCAGCTGCTTCATCTAACATTACAAATCCTTTATTTACATTGT